AGGAGGTGTATACGCTCCCCTCAGTACCCTTGCCTCCTTCTCAAGAGCTGCGCTCTAATTCCGCGTTACAGAGTGTTATAAACAGTTTTCATTTTTTTTTCTTTTTTGTTCAAGAAATGTCACGGATTAAAAAAAATCGACTTGCGCAAAATGGAAAATAAAGGTTTAACCGGCGAACTTGCGTCCAAAGCTAAAGAAAAAACAAGGGCCGTGAAAGCGGCAGCGCCACGGTGTCGGCCTGGCAGCTCTCTAGTGCGAGAGTGCGGGAGTTAGTCAGCAAGGTCAGTCTGGGCTCCTAATCTGCTACACTCGGTGTCTCCAAGATTTGGTCTAGAATGTTCGAGCGTCGAACACGCGCGAGACTGACTCGGCAAGGTCATGGTGGCCTCCTGCTTTATTACACTTGGTATTTGTAACATTCCAATCAAACGTCGAATCATTTGGGGGGAGAGTAAATGCGAATCTTCCAAAAGTACGGAGAAGCACTCATCTCGGCCATGCACACGGCAATATTACTTGGTGATTTCCATTAGCACAGAACTAAATTAAAATGTTGTACGAGAGAGGAGGAAAGGAGGCCTCAGTAAAATGGAAGATTTCGTGGGGGGGGGGGGGGGGGGGCATGCCCCATGCCGCCCCCCCCCCCTGCCCTACTGGCTACGGGCCTAGTTCAATCTAACGCTGGAACTAAAGCGGATTCTACAGCCTATACAGAAACCGCCGAGACTCTCCTTTACCTGAATTGTTATTTCTTTATATAACTTCAATAAAAATGTAACCTTCTTTATTCTGCAGCACTGCCCATCACTTACGTAATATGGGACAATACTTCGAGTAAGCGGTTAGTTTTCTCGTGTTCATGGATGATATTTATACAATACTGGGCAGACTTCTGCTGAAGCAAAATTGCATACTTAAGTATTCAGTAACTAGGCACTTCTCGCAGACCTCTCTGCTTCCGTTTATCGAAAAACGCTTTTTTTAGAGACTGACATTACAACGCTTTTTATTCAAATGGTTTAAAGTAGTGCCTATCAATTTCATTAAGGCGATTCGTTCCTAAAACTTGCACGAGAGTCCACGATATGCTAAACTGCCTGTCTGTTCAGGTTTAAATATTAAATTAATTTTCTGTCTTACCTTAAATGTGGGAACATTCAGAAGTAAAAATATAAATTTTAAAACACAGTAATATTTAAAACTATTGGTTTCTTATAGCAGGTAATATATGCCAGTTTCGCGGGCATTCAAGAAAAAAAGACTCTAACTGGCATGTACTGTTACTTCTATACCGAAAAAGTTTATCCTTAAACAACGTCCCGTTTCCTAGCTGTGTGGGGTTAACGTGGCACGCACAGTACGACTGTTGACCTGGGCTCTTTACGTCATTACGGACGTCACTGATGATCTCATCGGTATACTCGTCGTCATCGTAACTGATGACGTAGATCAGTGACGTCACTGATGACGTCATTTCCATCCGCATCGCCATCGACATCGTCCCTGATGATGTCATCAGTGACGTCACTGATGACGTTGGCATCCGCATCGTCATCGTCGCTGATGACGTCATCGGTGACGTGACTGATGACGTCATCGGCATCGGCGTCGTCATCGTCACTGATGGCGTCATCGTCATGGTCATGTGACTCCCGTGACGTCAAGTGACCCCCGTAAGGTCAAGTGGCCCCGGTGACGTCACGTGACCCCCGTGAGGTTATGACAGTTATGACAAAAAATATATATTATTTCCGAATTTTTATGGCGCAGATATACATCACGAATAGTGATTAGCTTTTCGCAATGTCACGTGCCCATATCATTGGGTGGGTAATTTCTAAATCCCATCGCATGCATGCAGTACATTTTTTGTTGAAAATTCCATGACCATTATGCGCTATGTCGGCCTCCTCTACGACCCGCAAAAACTGTTGACTTGCTCCCGAATGCTCGAAAGATAGCTAACCCTTTGAGCGAGCTTGTAGATTGGGAATCATCATTAATGAATGACCAAAGATCTTAATATCGTCAAAATTTAACACCATAATTTACGAATATGCGCCTCGTTTTCTTGTTTTGTTACTAGCATTATTATGAATCCCAGAGTTATATTCGCTTTAAAACAAGAAAAACGTAAAGTTGTATCGCTTCGCTATCGGCTGCATGGCTTCATTTTTTTATTCTTCTTTTTTTTGCTAGTGCTATGGTGTTTGGACGGCGTCTCCGACTGGTGTGCTTACGGCGGCCTAAAAAGTGGTCCCTTGATTGCCGCCTGATGACGTCATAGAGGTGTTATGCTGCCGCAGGTCGCGACCCTGACGGCGTCCCAACAGTTGTGGTATATATGGCAGACGCCTGTTTTGCTGTAGGACGCTCTCCACAGTGGCAGTTCATGGAAGCTAGAGCAGCCGAAAGTTGGGACGCCTGGGACGCCGTGACGACAGCGACACTCGCGTTCGCTCGTGCTTTTCGCCAGCATTTTTACGGCCAACCGCCAGGATCGCGACAGGCAACACCATGACACTCCGGCTTCTGTGACGTCATTTGTTGCCACTAGGGGACCACTTTTGACGTATAGGCGGGATAGGACGCTAAACACACCAGTCAAAAGCGCGATCCAAGCACCATACTAGTGCTAGTGACGTTGAGAATTTTAAGGGGTATCTGTAAAAACAATTTTAAGAAGAAGTGCTATGTTGATCACGTAAACTATTTAACGAAGCTTTCGTGCAGTATAAATACACCCATCACAAATCTCCTAACTGGTTATTTCCACGCATTATAATATTAGGTTTTATTATATAAAATTGTGTGATTAAATAACAGACGTTATCAAATTTGACGAAGAAATCCGCTTTCATATTAAAGAAATATAAATCGTTCAAAGAAAACGGATTCCATTGGCTAGGAAATAAATCAACCTATTTCTAGGGAATTACATGTAATGTTAGCATCTGGGAACAGTGCAAAGCAATATTAAGCAAATATTTTCAGGGCCCCTTTGTCTTCAAAGTTCTCTAATGCATGAAATGCAGTATTTAAAATGCGACCATTTAAAATTGGTCACAGTATATTAAACCTTTCTTTCGGAGAATAAAGAGCCTTTCTTTTTATAAAATTCTTCGATACATTAAGCGGGGAAAATAAATTGATGTATGGGTGTCAAGAGTCAAGTCACGTGACAAACTTCCCGCTAAATTTAGCGGGAAATATAAATTTGCGTATAGGTCACGCAATATCAATTGGCCTGCTAAATATAGGGGGGAACTGCATTGATGCATAGATCATGCGACATGCGGTAACGTGGCACCGTGTTTCCTGCTAAATTAAGCAATGAAACTGAAATGGTGTAGAGAAAACGTCAGGTTACGCAACATCAATTTTCCAGCTAAACATACGGGGGCAAACTAAATTGTAAATGTCACGTGACGTCATGAACACATGACATGAATTATCCTGCTAACTTCACCGGGGAAATTAAATTTGTGTTAGGTCATATCATCAGGTCACGTGACATCAATTTGTCCGGGAAAATTAGCGGGGAAACTGAGTTGATTGTAGGTCCCGTGACGGCAGGTCACGTGATATTAATTTTCTCGCTAAATTTAGTAGGGGATCATAATTAGTGTATAGATCACGTGATGTGAGATCACGTGACATCAATTCACATCTCGTGACCTAAACGCCACTTCCCCGCTAAATTTATCTAGAAGGGACGGGCAACATTTTGGAATTGGGGATTCCGTTAAAAAAAAAGCCTTTTATGCTTTTAAAAATATAGATGCTCTGCTTTTTTGCAATATATTGCTTTGGAAATGTTCTCGGAATGTTTTAAGCACAAACACATACCTCCAGGTATATGGACAAAAATCACCATGTTCTAAATAGAGTGCATGAAGATTATGCGTGAAAATAGCGTCGAATACAGCATCCATGTAAAATGCTTTTACGGCAATGTCGTCGACCTTGACAACAATACCTGTCCTTGAGGAAAACTCGGGATGATATTTAACACCATTAGTTTCTCCATAGTTGAACAGTCTCTCATATACAAAAGACGACTAGGACAACCTGCTAACTCCAGCAGTAAAAACCATTTAGCAGTCCTGCGTTAGCCCACAGTAGAGTCGCAGTGAGAGCTGCGACACGTCACGGCCAAATTGTTGGGCATCGGCGTTCAGTTCACGCACCGTGTGGTGCGTGAACAAAAGCGTACGGAACGAAAAAAAACGTCTCATCATTTTATTCCAAATACTTTCTTTTTTTTTTTGTTCCGGATCGCGTGAAATCGTGTCTCCAGGCACAGACTCTTGGCATTGGCAGTTTTCCAACAGTATTTTGGAATTAACTATTTCTTTTTCAGATATCGCGTGCAGTGGGCATTGGAGACTACAAGAACCCTAAGTATAAAGCGAGTTGTTAACGTTGTCGAGTAGCTCTGTGGCAACGACTCCGCTTCACGCGCGGCGGACCTAGGTGCATTCCCCGCGGGCGGCGGCCGATGTTTTTCAACGATTTGGCAAACATCGACGACGGACATTCTACTACGCCAATACAACATCGACAACTACGTCTACAGCATCAACAACGTACGCCGTTTCCAGTGATGGGAAGAGCCAGGCACGTAGCCAGGGGGGAGGCCCATGGGGCCCGGCCCCCCCCCCCCCTCCCCCCGAAATCTTCCATTTTGCATGGGTCCTCCTCTCCCCTTCCCCCTCATGCAGCATTTTGTTATGGGTGGGCCCCCCGAAACAAAATCCTGGCTACGTGCCTGGGAAGAGCCAATAAAGTTATAGCTATAAAACTCATGACCTTTTCCAGTCGAGTTCAATTCTCGGAATAGGAAGTTGTCATTTATGTACGAGGGAAGCACAGCCGCTGGAAACAATGAAATGAATATTCGTCAGGAACAGTTGCTGTCTTCCGGATTACAGTAGTATAAAAAGTGTGCGCAAATGGAGAAACAAATTATTTTCTTATACCAGTCTAAGCGTTTCAAAATGAAGGTCTTTTTCGGAATGTTGGTGATTGCATCACTTTTATTTTGTCTTGATGCTGAACGCAGGCCAAAAGGTCCCAAGGAGAAAGGTTCAGGTAAGTAATTTGATCTGGTCGTGGTTTTAAAAGCTTCGTTCTTTTATATACAAGTACGCGAAACAACGCTTTATGGCCATTGCATTATTTTTGTTTGTAACGCCGACACTTCTCCAGTTTTATTCAGTTAATCGTCATTTCTAACAAAGTACAAAGGTATGAGAGATCGGCAGAATTATATCAAAATAACATTTCTTCAATGGCAGGTGAAGTTTCTCTGAAGCAGCTAAGCATGCACTTGAAACAAAACGTGCTACGTTAGCATATTGTCATGATAGGAATGAATATCATGACTGGATGCATTTTATGAGCACGAATCTCACGCCAAAGGGCACCGGTGTGTGCCTAGATGCTTTTGACAAAGGTTTTTTGAAGAAGACTGTATTGTGGACCTCGAATTATTAGATAGTGTCAACTTGATTCGGTGCCACGCATCGTCCATTTGAGTTTGAAACGACAACATATGCCGACTTCCCATCGCCAGAAATTTGAGACAGGCGCTTCTAGTTCAATTATCAGCCCTCCACAAGGCGTATTCAGCTTTAACTTTTATGACGTGTCGAAATTCCCACCAAAGCGGGGTGTGCCGAGTGAAAAAAAAAGAAAACTTAAAGAGATTATGGATGCCTTGCTGTTGGAATATTCTAATAACTTGATAGTTGTCCGTTACCATTTCATGGCGATACTGTGATCTAAGGAATAACACCGGAATTAGCTTCTAAGAGATTTGGCAGACGTCGTCGCGCGCGTTTATATAGTTTTTATAGTTGATTTGTGGTGCGATATCGTTAGGTATGTGCCTTCAGAGATAGCTGTGTTGTGAGTGAGTATAGGGCATAAAACGTACGCTATTATTACTGGTTCATTTCGTACAGGGCGTATCGAAGGATGTATTCAAAACGAATGTACTCTAGGCACATAATTTTTTTACGCGTTGGTTTTTATCCACTTTCCGCCTCGTGGAATGTTGTCGCCAGTAAAAAAAAAACAAAAAAAAAAACATTACTTTAAAACGAAAAATAAACGTTCAATGAAGCGAAATTTTGCCTATCATACATAAAGAGAAAGGTGCCACGCATCTTCCGTCGGCGACGGGTAGACAACCCTACCGAAAAAGCCATTTGTATGAGATTTTTTTTTTGTGTCCAATAAACACACATGAATCATAAAAGATATATACGAACATATAATATTCATAGAGGAACTATATAATAAATATGTAACATATGTAAGAACATAAAAGAACCCCATAAGAAACTTATAAGAAAGCTCTCACTAGTTTTTTTATTTGGTTCCTACATGTTCTTATATATATTATATAGTTGTTATATGGTTCTGATATGTTCTTATATATCTTGTATGATTCATATGTGTTTATTGGACACTGAAATTTCTCACGTAAATTAGATTTTTCAGTACTGTACTGACCCGAAAAAGCGCGCTATCAATACTTTCATACACGCAGCACGTTCAGGAATATTCTGAACAAGAATACTTGATGAAAGCCGAGAATGGGTTGGGATTTTATAGACGAACGCAAAATAATAAGAGAAGGATCCGGGCGAGCGGGATCCGAACTCCATTCCTCTGTGTGATAGCCACATGCATTGTCAGCTCCGTCACGCACGGGGCAATATCACCCTTACTTTGTGGATCAAGCGTCAAAAACACACCATCATAGTGTTCATCATTTTGTTTTTCTGTCGTGTGTTCTATCATCACTGAACTTATCATAAAGAGAAAAAGACTCATCGATTTGCGCTTTTGACGCTGCTTCATTGGTCGATCCCCTCGTAGCGTCGGCTGCGTCTCTTCCTAATGAGAAAGAAAGTGTAAAAACTATCGCTTATGAGGCGTTTACAGCGCGTCCGAATCTACTACAATATTAAATGTATTACGTTGATATCATATAAACTTGGTGTTATTTTAGGCTTTCCACAACATTTTTTTTTTAATTCGTTGAGGTTACATTTATGCTGCGTAATCAAGTAGGTTATGCGGTCATGTGCAGATTATTAGGGGGCTAATTGTCACGATAATTTGAACAATAACCTAAATTCGCTGAATAATTTTAGATGGTTTAAATAAACACACCGTTTAATTTAGAAACTCGCTGAGCGTCATGAAAAGCCTCTAAATCGGTAAATGTTGGAAAGAATCGCAGCACGTGGGAAACGCAGTGGGGCGCTAATATTAGGGAGTTTTAGCGAGTCGTTTTTCAAGCACACGGTTCCGAAATCGCGAACGGAACAGCTGGTCTGTTCCGTGAAGCCGTACCTCAAATTTTACATACTTTAGTGAATCGTGAAAGTGGCGCAACCGTGTAAACGATGATGATGATTGGGCTTAACGGTGGCGCCATCTTCTAGTAAACATGTGAAACATTCTGCAACGTGTAAATCCGTGGCGGCTTGTGTCCGGCGAACGACTGATGTAAACAAGACGGCCGACGTAACATTAGCCGGTCGGAAATTCAAGAACGGCGAAGCTCGATCGAGTAAAAAGTGTCTGAACGATCGTAAAGGTATGTGGTGTGTCTCCGTCATCTTGAACTTGGACGATCGTTCACGTTGTGTGCCGTCGAACCGAATCATTTCGTCTGCTCGCGGTCGCCACGGCAGCTAGTCTGCCCGCAGATCGCAAAAATTTACTAGCATGCACAGTTTACAGCATTCACGATAGCTTACCATTGTGAGCAGTCCTCGAAATGATTTGGTTCAACCTCTCAAATGAAGCAGACGAACAGGAGAGCAAATCGCCTCCCGCTGTCCTAAGCCTAACGCTCGGCTCGGTCGGCAAAGGGGGTCCATATCACACGAGCGAATGACGTTTTAGCGAACAGCGACGTTTGAGCGAATCGACGTTTTAGCGAATAACGGGGGGGCGCGTTAACCCATCCGCCGCGCTGCGCTTTACGCCGCTTCGCGGCGACAGTCTGCGGCGGCTCATTACAAAAATGTAAACCCATTTGGCCCACCCGAAAACGCTGCTTCGCGGCGTCCGACTATTCGTTAAAGTGTCATTCGGTGAAACGTGGGCGTTCGCTCAAACGTCATTCGATGAAGTGAGTGCCTCCCCGGCAAAGGCGGTCGCTGAAGCGACCGCCATCTATTTTTTTTACCCGAGTCGTGAACGGTGCTGGCTGTGTTGGGGTGACGACTCCAGCGGCTGCAATGGGAGAAACGAACGAGAAGAGCCTCCCGACTCCCCGAACGACTCGCGCGCGCATGAGCAGTGGCGTCGCGGATACGTTCGAGGGTGAACCGTTCGTGTGGAAACGACCTGCTAAAACTCCCTATTACCTCTCGTGCAACAGGCGCGAGGCTGGCGGTATGAAAACGCGGATGATACTTTCGTCATCCGCGTCCGTCATGCCAAGTTATCGAAAAGTAACGCGTACCGAGTTGCACCGTTTTAAAGGAGGGATGGTTCGACCGTCTCTACGCATTCATTCATCTTTCAAATTTGGGCACCCGTGCATTGCCAGGCAACCTTTTGAGAACAATCCAGTTCCCAGCTGAAGGTAGAGTCTAAGATGTACAGCCCTTGACCCCATCGTAGTAGTATGGCAAAAAATCCAGAACGAATTGTTTTTGAGATAACGTGGCTCAAACTGGAGGTAGGTCAGCTGTTTTTACGGATTTGTTCACGTTTTTGAAATTTGGGCCTCTGCGCCTCGCAAGGGAAATTTCGAGGAAAACCATGTTCACAACAAAAGGCGGAATATAAAATGTAAATCCCGCGATCCCATCCCGGTACTATGGCAAATACTCCAAAATTAGTTCTTGTTGAGAAAGTGGCCTCAGATTGAGGGTCGTTCGACTGTTTTTACGCATTTGTTCATCTTTTGAAATTTGAGCACCCGCGCCTCGCCAGAAAATTTTTTGAAGACAACCCAGATCCCAGCTAGAGGTGAAATAAAAAAGCTTGAGCCCTAGGGCACACCCTGGTACTATAGAAAACACTTCAATGTGAATTCTTTCTGAGACAACCGGTCTCAAATCGGGGATGGTTCGGCCATTTCTACGCATTCATTCATCTTTCGGGAACCGCGTCTTGCCAGGGAACTTTTGAGAACATTTCAGGCCCGCAAATAACGACGAAATATAAAATCTAGAGCTTTCCTACACATCCTCGTACAATGGCAAATACTTTGAAATAAGTCCTTTTTAAGAGAGCCGTTCTCAAATTGGGGATGATTCCTCCGTTTTTACGCATTACTTAATCTTTTGAACTTTTGGCACCCGCGCCTCGCCAGTGAACTTTGAGGATAACCCAGTTTCCAACTAACGGCAAAATACGAAATATAAGGCCCTCGAGCACGTCATGGTACAGTGGCAAACACTTTAAATATAGCCCTTTTTGAGAAAGGCGGTTCCAAAGTGGGGATTATTGGCCATTTTTCCGCACAGGTTCATCTTTTGAAATTCTGGCGGCCGCGCGTCATCCAGGAACTTATTGAGATCAACCGAGAAGTTAACTAGTTAATACCTAAGAAAAAAATTTTAGACCCTCGAATATACGTTGCTGCTACGGAAAAACCTGTAAAATGAGTCATCTTGGAGTAAACTTGTCACGAAATGGACCTTGGTCGACTATTTCGAAGCATTCGTATATCCCTTCAGATTAGGGCACCTACGTGTCCTCCAGGAATTTTTTTGAGATCGGAAGGGTCCTTAATTGGCAACGATAAAAAAAACACTTTAGGACCCTCGACTTCAAGTTGCTGCTATGGCGAAACCTCTAAAATCAGCCATCTTTGAGAAAACTTGGATTGAGGTAGACATGGTTCGACTGTTTTCAGGCATTCGTTCATCATTTCAAATTCGGAAACCCGTGTCTTGCCCGGGGACATTCTGAGGTCGACCGAGTTCTCAACTGGCGACGAAATATAAAAGTTAAGGTCGCCGACTGCAAGCCGGTGCTATATCAAATAGGACTTTCCCCCACACTGAGTAATATCATATCAAGTTGGTTAATTATTTAGCTTAGACATTTAGTACGCCATTAAATATAACTTTTGAGATGTGAATGTTTATTTCGCGTGAACAATCATCCTCTCATGAATGGGGTACTCACCGCAGTGCTCCCACTCCTTGCAATAAAAATTACTTTCTTTTGATCACAAAACAGTATTATATATCGAGAATATTTTGAAAACTTTCCTTATGATTTTAGAATATTATGATATAGAACAGCTGTTTTGTCTGCTAGTTCAGTGATGTCAGTATTAGAATACTGTAAATCATCGTAAACATCCAAGTGACAACGAATCTATTTTGTTTGGCAAATTGGTTTCAGGGACCCAAGAAACCAGATTTCACACACAAAACAAAAAAACAAAAAAAAACACGTAGCTAGCCCATTATGGATTATTCTGGTTTACTACGGTCGTACGGCAAATCTTGTACTTTGTTGTATTTTTAAAGTGTGCTCGTTAGAACTTCGCTGTTTTTCAAATATTTACGCGAGGTGCCTCGAAAATGTATGTTCTACGAATGTGATACACATCATAAGCACTGCAGTGTTTGCCATAATATTGGGAAGAGATTAAATTTAATTTATAAAGTCATCAGTTTTTTTACGTCAAAGAATAAACCGCAGAATTATATTAACTTGGATACCAACCGTGGTGGCAAAACAACAAAAGGTTTCGAATGATACTATCCGCAGTGGCAATACATCAAAGGTTTTGAATATACCAAAAAGGTTTCGAATGAGGAACTTGCATTTTACACCTGAGTGTCTTGAAATGTCGTCACAATAATAGTGGAATATGATACACTGGAGAAGTAGCATGGCGAAATGTCCCAAGCGCAACGTTTCGGTGCTATTATATTTGTATATTAAATACATGGACTTCAACGGGAGCGCTTCCGTAACTAGCTAAGAGATTCGCACGCATGCGATGGCACACATTTCTGGGGTTGAGGTTCTACTTCTATTCTGTCGCCATGCTGTCACTTTTCTGTAGCAGGTATACTTTTCCTCTTGTCAACACCGCGTAGTCTGTCAATCGAGTGTTAATTTTTATTAAAATTGAATTTAAGAACTTCAATTCAAACACATCCACTTTGCTGTAGACTGACACCAGCGCTAGATTTTAAAGAAACATACGTTGCAAACGAATCATTGCTTCAGCAGCATAAACACGTGCAAGATTTACTCGTGTGACTAAATGAACGTGTTTTAATTAATTACTTAATTCTAAAGTAAGATTCAGTGGGTCATGTTATAGTGTCGCGATTTCCTATCGTTGCCCACTATAACGTCGTACATTTAGACCAAAATGATAGGCAGATAAATTATTCCTCCATCCCCTAAGCGGCACAACATTCACCAACGCCCCGATGTGTGGAATTCTCTGGCGTTGTCAATGGTGTACGGTGTAATGTCATAGCAGCACAGACCCTGCAAAGAATGCTATAAATTAGCATAAATAAATGAAGGTCAATTTCCGAAGCTCCTAACTATTTCAAGTGCATGACCAACAATTGTATGCCCACTAGAATTTACGAGGAAACATCTTCGTAGTGTTTGGTTACAAGTCGAAAGCAATCGTAATAGTAGCTTCAAATTACACAGGATTTTGATTGTGTCGACCGATAGCTAAAAATCGAAATCCGAACATTTAAAAAAATATTTTATATGTCGTGGCTTGATTAACTACTTTCGTGTTCATCTTAAACGCTGTATATATTGCTGTATTCACTGCAGTCTTGGGTCTTTGAAAAAATACTTCGAGTCACGAGATTAATTTCTTTCGTCCGTTAAAGAGTGGCAACCACGCTTACTGTAATATGCGCTTCTTAACACAACATATTTTGGTATAATTTTATGTAATATCAATAAATAGTTATAAAATATAACAACTGCTTAAAACAAAGCATTTATGCAACATGTAAGTTGTACAAACCCCAATTTAGAATTAAATTAGCTTGTTTGCCACACTCAAGATTTCATTTTTTTATGGGAGGCATCATCATTCAGAGTTTTATTGCGTTTCCCAAGCAGCTTTAGGGGCCTTTTTAGGGTTACACTTCACATTATAAAACAGCAATGAACTAAACGAACTACACGACAATCCTAACCACAATACTATACTTGAACTTTTTAAAAGGTATAAAAGAGTCCACGTGAGGGCTAAAATACTTGTACGTGAGCATCATCCGTGTCAGCGGGGGACTGGACTCTAGATAAGAGGGGTAAAAAAAAGGAAAGAGTAGACCTATTTTGTCGCTGGGGGACATGAATTGAGATTCTACTCAATGACATTGGGGGATCAAAAGCAGAATTAAACAACTTATATAAAAACACCATGTCGCGGACTAGACGCAAAGTTGAAAAAGGCAAAGGACGAACAGTGCCCTAAAGAAGCACATAATCATAAAAAAAACACTCCGTCCAATGTGGCGATCGTAGACAATTCTCACAAGTCGTCTCTGTATGCTCTCCAACGTGAGCGCCTAACACCCAAAGAATTCCGTACCGTTGAACAAAAGTCCAACCGTGATAGAACTAAAGCCAGAAAAAGGTGCAGTATACAGTTGTAATTTCGGAAGTCACGGGTAATGCGTGCAATTATCCCCATGATTCGCAAAGAATCATTAATAACCTTTGAAACATGATAGTTAAAGTTCAGGCGTGAATCGAAGAAAATGCCAAGGTGACGCACAGCAGAAGATCTTGAAATTTTAGATCCGTCTAAGGTGTAAGGATGTACAACAACATTTGCCTTAAGGCCCGTTCACACTCTTGCGACCGAGTACGACTGAGAGAGACGAGATCTCTTAAAACTTAAATGTTTTCAGAATGACAGAACACACTGGCATTGGGGCGCCATCTATGCGGTGACCCTAAAAATGCATTGCACAAGAGCGAAGGCTTTGCGGGATTTCCGAGGTTCAATGTGCGTAATACCCATAGAAATGCTCGTTTATAACGTTGACAAAAGTTTTCCGAGCCAAAAAAAAAAAAAGAAAAGGATAATGCGCAAGAAATAAAAAATATGCCGGACCGCCGAGTTTACTCTGCTTCCCAATAGATGGCGCCAGTGTGTTCTCCGGTTTAAGACGTTTTGAGGAACCCAGGTTTAAGAGGTCGCGAGAGTGTGAACGGGCCTTTACGGGAAAAAGAAACAAGCTTAGTTTTGGTAGGCTTTAAAACCAGCGAGTTCGCACAGCACCACAAATGAATTGCATCAATATCTTTTTCTAACAATTCACAGTCCACATGCGTGTGGATACTACGATAAATTTTCACGTCATCAGCATAGTGAAGTATCATTGAGTCACTCACACTAGTTACAATATCATTTACAAAAATATTAAAAAAGCCAAGGTCCAAGGTTCGACCCTTGGGGGACCCCAGAGTTCAACAGATAAGGGGATGATTTTCAACTTAAGTGGGAAACCATGTTTCAGCTTTCACCAAGTTAACTAGCAAACCAGTCGCAGGAACCCGAAGAAAGACCCACATGTAACAGCTTCGACAGCAATAGTTTGTAATCTACGAGGTCAAACGCCTTCGAACAGTCAAAATAAATAACATCAACTTCACCACGGGACCCAACGATAGGTTTCGCGAACACCAAAAAGGTTAAAAGATATGTTTTAACGGATCGTCCACGACAAAACAGTGCTGATTTGGACTGAGCGTCTGCTTATAATGAAAACTCACACGCTTAAAAATGACTTTTTCAAAAGAGTTAAGCAATACGCACTCCGCAGTGCACTTCGGACGAAATGGCTATACGCACTCCCCGGAGAGCTCATGCCGCTCGGGCCACCCTTTTCGAACGGCGCGTGTATCACTTGGGAGCTCGTTAACACAGCCCCCCGCCTGCGTTCACGCCGCTTCGCGGCGACAGTATTGGCTGCTAATTACAAAACTTAACCAGTACACGCCGCTTCGCGTGTACTGGCGCTCAGCGGAGCTTGGCGCGGCCACCTTGTCCCTCGATTGAGGACGACGAACAGAAGAAACGGCGCTTCGTGCCACTTTGACGTAAGTGCGCCTACTTTCAGTAGTTTCACTGGAATCGATGGCGTCAGGCGCGGCAATTTTTCAATTTTCAATTCAATTTTTGAAGGTCATCTTGAAGGGCTGCGTTGTCATCGCGAAGGAATTGAACCGCACTGACGAGTTGGTCCGTTTTTCGTACGAGCGCCGTTACAAGCCCGCCGAGTCCGCAGGCGCACTGCCCAGTAGCGTTCGGTCCCACACGATCTTCGCCATCAGCACTCACGGAAACCACGATAGGCTCGCTATCGAGAATCCCAGGACTGTCCGGGTCACGGCGCTTGGTACACGAAGCACATTTCTACGTGCTCATTCTGCTGGACATGTAGAAGCCGTAATCATCCCCTTCAACATTTAGGCATTTACAGTGAAAACGGCACATGCAGATGCCACTACAAGCCAGGAATTGTTGACGGCCGAAAAACTGGGAAGAGCACTTTCCGCGCACGTCTTTGCTCCCAGTCATTCCGGCACGGAATGACTAGCATAAACGTTTATTTATTAAACAAAGAAAAAGACTTCTTTCTGAGAGCTACTGGTATGTTTGAGACCTATCATTATTCTGTCAAGAAATGCTGTCAATAAGGTAAAATTATCGGCGTAATTAAAGGCCATCGTAAAACACCCTTTTTTGCGGAATCGTATTTCTACTTGGAAAGGCCGATTATGCCATCAAACCCGAATATTATTAATGCTTCTAAAACTACCCGCCTATTTCACGGGCCTATGCCAATTAAATGAAAGGTATATTTTTATTTGCATGGGTAATTTTTTTTATTTCAGGCACGCATGAAACGCCGATTACGATTGCCTTCCTATTGGATTCGAACGCATTTTTAAATGAAGACGCAGCTCGGAATTCCACAGTTGGAAATTGGTTGAATAGTGTCCTAGAAAAGGTAACATATCTCCCAGTACGGTTTTATTAAAAGCGATATGACCAACTCTGTAAGGTTTGTAATAAAAACTTAGGCTCCGTGATTTAAGAATTGTTACCACAAAAGAAGCTAGCACGGTGCTCAGCCATTTAAAAAAATTGAGCTTTAATTGTTCTTGTGACTCTGATCAAGCAGTGATAAAATAATCTGAAAACGAAATTCTCACATTTTATTGAAAATTTTTATGAGGCAAGAGGGGGGAAAGGGGCTGCGAAAGTGAAAATTTACATTGCGCAGTGCAGTTTAGCATCTCTTAGAGCCCACCAGCTGCTAAACTTTAAAAAATCCAAATGTCGCAGACCATAAAAGGTTTCACTTCGTGCGCCAAGTGATTGATAACTGTACAAAAAAAAATCCTTATATTTTTTTCGGGGCTTGGGGAACGACAGCGGCTCGGTCGTTCGGAAGAATATCCGAGAGAAGCATGTTGCCCTACATTTTCCATGCCATGTTCCATTTAAGATACGGCAACCTAGAATCCTTGAAAAAAATCATGGATTATTTTTTCTTATTAAGGCATGTATGTTCACTTTTGTTGATTAAGAAAAAGCACTTCTGTTATCGATGGCACAGCTACTGAAACCTTATAAACTTTGCTAGTAAAAAAAATAACTCTCTAATTTGCGAATATATTCGTCCAACATTGGCAATACAAAGGTCACGGAGGGATCGAGTTTCGTGTTGTCCTACGGTGTAGGAAGATGCTTTCAGACATAACCTTTGATACTTGCCTTAGTGATAGTCGACCGCCCGCTCAGAATTTCTTAAGTGTAGTGAGGGCAATGCAGTTGTCGTTAACTATAATGCAACACAATTACTTTACATTCAGTTGCTATGGCTCAGGATAAAATTTATGAGATTATGCTCCTATAGTATCTAATGATAAAAGATGTTCATACACACACAAACACCCACCCTAACCTAATGAATGCCTCAAGTAATAAAGGCGCCGTACATATTAAGGATTGGGAATAACGAAAGGACACCAGGAGAAGGGAAGAAAAGCGTTCCAAACAGAGCTAAATTTTTATTCCTGTCTTTTCCTTTCCTTGAGTTTGTTCAATCCTTATATCAGGGGTTCTGTTCATAACATAATGTTATCTGTGTTTGAGACGTTCTCCTTCTCTTCTGTCTGTGTCGTTTCGTCTTTCCTCAGAATCGGGTTGCTTCAAAATGTTCAGTATACACCACCTCACTCGCGGCCTTACGTTTTGTTGCGAATAAGTATTACTTCATCACATAATTTCACCTATATTTTATGGCACCAATAAATCAGGCTAGCGGTCCTTTTAACAAGAATTAAGCTTTCACCGTAGCCACCTTCTTTGTTCTAAATAACAAAATGTTTAGAATACACGTTCAGAGCGAAATGTGTTAAAAAATAAAATAAATTGCATTGTATTGTATTGTATTCGACTAAAACGAAATGGTCGAAAGAGACCTCAAGGCAGTCAATTAAATTGTTTATTTAGTTATTTATGTATAACATTTTTCAATCCCCAACATATCTACAGGCGCAACAAGAGTTAAACAAAGAGTTTCAAATGAAAATAAAATTTAACATTACGGATATTAATATGGTAAGTACCTAAGATTCAAATTGCTACTTTTACTGGTGCTGGTTTGTTTTGTTATCACATTGATGAACTTCTTTCTCGTAGACTGATATCACCGACACGCAAAAATGTCCATATTTCTGTGCCCGCAATGTAATAAATGCTAAGCATTATATGGACTATCTAAAGCAGTCTTATGAAAGCAAAGTGAGCCCCGATATGATTTGTGTTGTTGGAGAGTGAGTACAGTTTTCTAATATAACGCCATTTTCCGTAAACTTCCCTAAAATTCTCAATCACCTGCATAGAATGTTAATGTAACGTTAAACAAAATCTCTTCCCGCTTTCGCTTTTCTGTGCTCTAAATTACCAATATACTCAATTCAGACATAACTATCATTCTAATTTCTTGTTTTTTAGTTATAAGGCATGGCATGCTTTGTAGGAGAATCCTACTCCCATAAATTTGTCTGCTCAATCGAGCGTGTGTGCGTCCGCACGTACCGGAAGGTAGGAAATATCAGCACAACAAATTAATTACCACTTATTTCCAATTACCATTTATGTCCCGAAAGCTACAGACAGATATTCCCATCTCCCACCAAGAAACGAAACCAAGACCGCTCCGATTCGCAACCCGATGCGCTACGTCTTCGCCAGTTGCAATACTCTGTAGTTGCGCTGGTCAAGGTGTATACAGTATGCTCCTGCTGATACAGTTCACACAAGCCGGTGCTTTCAGTAGTGCTACTAATATTGAAGAGGCGAAAGGGACAATGCCAATAAATAAAACGCCTTATTGATTCCCCGAAACGACTCCGTAATGTAAGCTATAAGTCCAAGAATATATCTTTAAGAACACATTCTACGAATATGACTTATTCGAAATATAGGGGAATGCACTGCTTCGTAATATATGATAATTGAACTCAATTCAGTAGCTTGAATACACCTCGATTGAAAAAAAAAAGAATTCTACGCACGAAATACAGTTATAAAGTTTTGATAACCCTTATTATAACGCATTATTAATAATCATATTATTATTATATAATTAAGAAGACTAATGTCACTTTTATTATGTCTACTTTTGTGTGCTTTTTTGGTCTTCCTCTTTGAACTACACACAAGCCGGGGCTTTTGCCATCGTTTAATCCGAAGCATTACAGAATATTGAGGATTACTCATTGCCTGCAAGTATTGGTTACCATGTAGTGACCAGGAACGGCGGCATTGGGGCCTTGCAAGCTTTTCCTAAAATATTCTCGCCTGGTTCATTAGCAGCGACTGCACTTTAGTGTTGCTTGTAGTAATTTTTTATTATTATTTTTTATATCTACTTTAGAATTTGTTTTAGTTCTTATAACGTTATCTTGTTAGTCAAAGCAAGAAAGTAATCCACCGGCAACCATTGACTCACCTCGCATTCGGCGAAGTGTGGGCTACATCCTAATCCAACAGTATGGGAGCTCTGGTGCGCGATGGTTGCTTCAAGCAAGCACTTCTATCCACCTGTAAACTCAGGATAAATTGCCATAAACTTTGATATGTAACGTAAAATGTGTTTTGCTAAGGGATCTGATTAAGCATAATAAATAGCAGAAAATCGAAGGTTCATATCTCTCTCCTGCGCCAATTTTGGAACTTCTTGCTCGAAAAGGTTGGTTAATTATTTGGAACAATTTCCTTTGCATCGCGAATAACATCTCGTTCCACCAGCGAAATGACGGAGTCGGTGTCTCTTCGGCCAGCGCAGACAGACTGCACAAGCATAAATTCTTCAATAACGACGAAAAACGCTTGCATTTTCGTGACTCCTGCCCTCTTACGATTTCTGCAAAATCAAGATGAATGGTCTCAAAGGGAACGTCGAGAGTACTCAAGGGTCATAATTTCGTCTGCGGGATGTTGGTCATATGCCTTATTGAAATGGCAGGCGAAGCAACTACGCATATAATTAGTGTCATTTTCCTTCATGCTCATCTATATGAACTTTCGTCTAAATATCCATTGAGTCCTCCAAAACGTATCGTATTTTCCAAACCAATGACTCTCGTGATGAAGCTTTAGGGTGGTGGAATCTTTACACTGACACATGGGAACTTCCCATCTTGTAAGTTCACGTCCTTAGAACCGTCCCACAATTGGACATGATTGATACTTTAGGTGTGGGTATCCATACGAATGCCGAGTATGGAGAGGGCATCCGCATCGGGATGATTCCCTCCAGATGGATGGGTCATTTCAAACGGAAACTCTTGAATCTCTCTGATCCACCTGGTACGCCGTCTAGTCGGTTGGGTTAAGTTCAAGACATCAGTGAGAGCTTGGGTTTCCTTGAAAATTTTAAAATGCCGATCTTCGAGGTAACTTCGGGAATCCCTCAAGGCCGAGACCACCGCTAGACCTTCCTTTTCTGTTATGGCATATTCTTCCTGGCTCTTGGAGAAAGCGAATGAGTAGTAGCCGACTAGTCCTGCATTGCGGTTGGGCAATGCTGTAATGTTTTGTTGATAAAAGACGGCTCTTGTGCCATTGTGTGAAATGTCTATAAAAAGTGCAAGCGTCAGTTCCAAATCAGGCAGTATCAGTAGGGATGACATTCATCAGGTACTCAAACACGCTTTCGAACTCCTCAGACGAAACAAACGAAGTACCTGAGTCAGTGTCGCCAGCCATTTTGTCTTTGTGGCATAGTTTTTACAAGCACCCGAAAATGTCCCGCAACAAGCGAGGAAAATGCGAAGTATGTGCAAAACCTAGCGCTCTCTAGGTTTTGAGCTGTTCTGCATTAATTCATTTTAATGCTTCGTGTTAAACCATGAGAAACTTCCGAGCTACGCCATTTTTTATTTTTTTTTAAGGAAATTACTTTTCTTTATGTTAATTTTCAAAGTAATTAAGCTCGAGAACGATTGATAATCTCATTAATATAAACGGTGCAGGACCCAAAACGTTATAGAACACTTCATTCGTCATCTTCAGAAACAAGGCTCCAGAGCTCCTTCATCCAAGTGTGAGCCGCGGTTATACTCGCACACCTCTAACTGCGTCACAAATATGTGATTACGTTACAATGCCTTCCGCAGATAACAATCCTCGACAACCATGAACACCCTCCAGTATCACTAATGATGTCATCCACCCGTGGCATTGGCAACGGGAAAAGTTAAGCCTGGCTATTAACTTGGCGATTATCGCTACGAAGTCGGGATATGCCGTGTAGTGTAGGTCAGGGGTGTCGCGAACTTTTGTTGAACCGGATTTTTAGGTCGAACTTTCGGGGTTCGACTAGGTCGAACCGCTCGACGAACCTTCGAAACTTTTCACGAGATTTGACCGGTTCGACTTTGCGGACAGTGTGGCCAGACTTTGATGCAACCATGTCTAGGTTTGGAGAATTTATTTTTATGCAAAAGGTTATTTTATTTTATGGACGGTTGCAATTAAAAGAAACCAATTCTATTCACTGAAGAACCTAATAACTCAATTTTTTTTCTACTTTATTAACTGAAATAACCAATCAGCACTGCCCTTAATTCATCCCTTAGCCATCACCATCCAATCTGGAGCCAACTGGCCAGCCTGTCGCGCAAGCGCACACGAGTCGAACCTCAATGCAAGGTTCGTCGAAATTTCCACAAAAAGTTCGAAAAAGTCGAACCTGGTTGAACTCGAACCTCGGCCGGTTCGCGACACCCCTAGTTTAGGTCTTCAGGCACGAAGGTAATCTGGGAGGAAAACGTTGATGTCGATGACCTGTTGATCTCGGCATCTAGCATTCCTTGAATTTTGGGCTTTAGCTAATTTTGTTTTTCGTTGGACGTATGGCTTTTTTTTGTACAACGAAAGTGTCATGTAGCATAAAAAAAACAGTAACTAAAGTCGCTCGTGTACAATATTTGACACTTATCAGTGCCAGGCAAGGGGCAGGCACGTCTTCAGCACTTTTCACAATAGGATGTTCGCAAAAAGTACCCGGCTGAACTTTTGCACCCTGGTCGAGGTCACCTCGTCTTTCCAAGATACATTCATTTCAATACTCTCCATTTTAGGCTGTAATAAATGAACAGAAATTCGACCCCTTCCACAGCGAGTGCCTTTACCATAAGTTTATTTTCCTGGAACTCAATTTTCAGTGTCCCCCAACAGTATCGACACAGCTGTGAGCTTCGATGAGCGTTTCAATCTGTCTATGTCACGTGCCCACGATATACTTATTAACAAGTCTGTTAGGTCCACCATTGTCAACTAAGGCATCAACATGTCTACCACTGACGATAGCAAAACATAGAGAATGTTCTACTCTTACAGAGTAAGCAATCCTTTTCTTTATATAAGGTGGAACTACACACCCTTTTCAATTTGATGTTTGGCTCCTCCTAAGTATTGTCGTCTGCGATGCGATCAGGCCAACTGGTTCTTAACTTGTAATTAAGGGCGTGTTACAAGTGGTGGTGGAAGCTCGCTTCCGCTACAAACGTTGAAAGTTTATTTTTTTAGGATAGAACCCGGTCGTTGGTGCTATTAAGTAGTTATGCAATCGGCGCTTACGACCTCGCTTAATGCGGAAGTTCCTCGATGGCTTTTGAAGATTTTGCCTACGCTTGTTTTTGTGCATCTTTGCTCACGCCCAGGATGACCAGTGGAACGATGGGTGTTTCCAGCTAAGTAGAATCAGTGAGCTGAAGAAATCTCTTTTTCTGATAGAAGTGATCTAGCCTGCTGTCCTTTCGATGTTTCTGAAATATATCCATTTCCCAGCGTTCCACAGCATTCACATCAAATGAACTTGTAAAGCTCTGTTTACTAACTTGGTAAAAATCGCTTGTGGTAAGTGGTCGTGAAACATCTTCAAAAATTCGGAGCTATTTGGTATCCTGTCATCTATTATAGAACCCACATGTATTCGTTTTTTCGTCCAAATTTATTTACTACCCTATTGAAAAATATTTCTTACCGGTATGTCATTTCCAGTAGAAGTCCATTTTGCTGGATTATGGGGCTGTTGTCACCTCCAGTAAAGCCGTAGTTCACCGGAATGTTGCCGGATTTCTTACTGGATTGTCACCGTTTGTTTGACAGGAATGTTACCGGATTTTCACCGGAATGCCACCAGATATTTTATCATAATGTCACCGGATTTTTACCGGAAGATTATTTTTAGTAAAAATCTATTTTACTGGACTATGGGACTCTTACACTTCCAGTAAAGCCAGAATTTACCAGAAGATCACCAGATT